ATAAATATCAGGTTCTCAGCATTTGTTTGACAAATCAATTTATTATATATATATATATAGTACATATGATGTGTATGTTTGTGTATGTATGTGTGTATGTATGTGTGTATGTATGCAGGTATGTATTATAATGTATTATATATATATATTTATATGCCTATGTATGTGTGTATGTATGTATGTATGTATGTATGTATGTATGTATGTATGTATGTATGTATGTATGTATGCATGTATGTATGTATGTATGTATGCATGCATGCATGTATGTATGTATGTATGTATGTATGTATGTATGTTAAAACCAAAACATGATGAGTGACACTGAACCGTCAAACATCAAGTAACAAATGGATTAACACTTTGATTTGTCGTTAATTGCACATGTCGGCATTCAGTTGGATATTTTCAAGCACACAGACACGCAGGAACCGCTGCAACAAGCACGAAATGTGGTTAGTTGCAAAAAACAGTTCCCTGCTGTCGCCTGATCTGACGCTGATCATTTTAAATATTGCTTTAAGAAATGTAAGGGTGTTGGGGTCCATCAGGCCGAGAACCTCGATACATATTGGCAAGAACTCCATCGAGGGGAGGGCGTTCCCATATTTTTTCATTTTCTCGTCGGCTGCCCTGGCCGCGGCCAAACCGCATTCTTTACTTGTCAGGTTTACATATCGTTCGGCAAGGGTGCCAGAGACAGTAACATCCCACTTATCGAAAGTGGCTGGCGAGCTCTCCGCCAGGCTCTCCGGCGAACAGACAAGTCTGACAGCCGAGGACAGGTTTCCCTGTTCAATACAAGATGACACAGCGTTGATCCACCGATCGGGGTTGTGCTTTTGTGATTTGGCATTATTGAACCCATCAAAAAGCACAGTACCAGGGTTTCAAGACTAATAGTTGAATATTCGCTTAGACGCTTGTTGACCAGATTGCCCTGGTTGACCCGGCGACCCCCTCTGGAAGTCTTCTGTAAGACGTATGGGACAAAACAGTGGAGTCTAACCCAGTGAGCCGGGTCACCAGGGTCATTACAAACAGCTGTCAGCAAGGCGTTCAGATCATGTACGAACTTTTCCCTGCATGGCTTAGGGATATGGTCGTACACCGGTACACATTTCAGTACGGCCGTCAGCTTGTCAAAAACACCAGAGTAATCCAGGTCGAGAGGATCACTAGAAACCGATGCGGCCGTCGACCGTGTGGACAACCTAGGCTTGGGGTCGGGTGCGGCACCGAGAGGCGAAGCAGCCCTCGCGCCCGATGGATCAACTTTTTTCCGGGACCCCGAGCATTCCTGTCCTTTCACTTTACCTCCGTGCCGACATAACTTCCCGTCTGGAGTGCTTCTATAGTGGTTAAAGCAGACGGGGCACTGTTGTAACGTTGGAGCCATATGTGATTAAAAACAACCAAGAAACGAAGGAAAAGAAACAAACCAAGTGGGGTGGATGGATGAATGAATGGATGAACAAGCAAATGACCAATTGAACGGGCCAACGACCAAACGAATGAATGAGTGAATGATGAAGGAAGGATTGAGTTAATTACTGAACGGACGAGCGAGGAAAAAAAATAATGAATGAATGAGTGAATAAATGAATGAATGAATGAATAAAAAACCGAGCAAATGGATGAATGAACGAATACATGAATGAGTGACGGAATGAATGGACGAGCGAACGGATGAATGACTGAATTATCTTTAAATATTTAACCAGTGGAAAAGATATATAACTTTTATATAACTATTGATGAATGAATGAGTGAGTGAACAAATGAGTGAATGGGTGAATACAAAAACCTAGGCAACAGTGTGGGAGGAGACAGCTATTGCAACAAACTTTGGCCCAATCTCTCCCTTACAGTTTGAGGGCAGACCCCAGATAACAACAAATTTACAAACCGGTGAGGTTATTTAACAATTCATCGGTGGGCGTCGGACCGGAAAGTAAATCCTTTATGTGCTGAGGCCTCAAGCCATCAAGGCCTCCCGATGAACCATTATTAAACGATTTTAAAGCCGTCAACACCTGGGCTGGTGAAACGCGACCATTGGACGGCTCCTGAGCGGGGAAAGCTCGCCTGTTCAATGGAGCACTGGGATGAATAGCTTTGAGTTTAGCGAGTGTCTCAGGCAAGCTCTCCGCCAGGCCTGCGGGCGAACAAGCAAGTCTGACGGCCGCCGAGAGACTGCCCTGTTCAATCCGAGTGGTTACTGCACTAATCCAACTGTTTGGATTGTGCTTACGCGGTTTGGTGTTGTGGTCAGTGTTGAAGCTTGCCACAATAATCTCGACCTCGGTCGAACTGAATTCGGCCAACCGTTTAATAACGTAATTGGCTTGATTAGTCCTGCGACCGCCCCTGGTGGGCTTGAACAAAACAAATGCGAAAAAACATTGGAGCCTGCACCAATGGGCCGCGTCGCAGGGATCATCGCAAACGGCCGTCAATAAAGCCGACAATGCTTTAGATACCTTGTCTCTGCACGGTTTGGGAACGTGATCATACAGATGGGCAGTCCTCAAATGTATGTATGTATGTATGTATGTATGTATGCATGCATGCATGTATGTATGTATGTATGCATGCATGCATGTATGTATGTATGTATGCATGCATGCATGTATGTATGTATGCATGCATGTATGTATGTATGTAAGTATGAACCCGTTTTGATCAACTAACCAAGGTTCGGGAAGCAATCATTTTCGAGTTCAACTTTTATCAATGACCCTGGTCTCGCACAGACAGGTACACAGCAGCTCCATCCAGAAATGCAAAAGGAGTTAAATTTTTGTAATAAAAGTTACAAGGTTTGTTTAAATAACTACTTTCATTAGGGCCACCTGTTATATATATTATTTTTCCTATCCATTCTTTAGTGTATGCATGTATATATGTTTGTATGTGTGTATGTATATATGCCAAAAAAAATGTTCTTGTCAGAGCAATGAAAAGTGTGCAAAAGAAACTATGAAAAATGCATGGCACAGTTTAGCCAAAAACCAGGAGATCCAAAGATACTCAGGTGGAAACGATACCAAACATTTTAAAATGCTCTAATACAGTCAATTACAAAATTTTCATTTACCAAGATTGAAAATCTCCTATTTGCTGACGACTGTGTCCTTCGTGCATGTTCTTAACATCAGATGCAACATGTTCTGAACGGTTTTGCACAGGCCTGCAAAAACTTTGGCGTCACTATTAACACCAACAAGACCTATGTTACGTATCAGCCCCCATTCCAACCAAACTAGTAACGGCCGAATGCAGCCGTAAAAGACACAAGACTCAAAGCAGTCTAAAACTTCACTTATCTAAAAGTGATCAATCGAATAACAAAAGTCAGTTTCTCATTTTAATAATCTACGAGAAAATTTCTGGAAATACTTAGTCTCATCTTCAAAATGAAAGTGTACTATGCAGTTTTACTCACAAGGATCCTCTACGCTTTGGAAACCTGGACTATATGTAATAGACACTATAAACAGTTAAATCACTTCAACGTGAGCTGTCTTTGGAAAGTCTTCCACATCATCTAACACAAAATTCCAGATACTACAGTTAAGAGCCAAAACACACAGCTCAAATCAGATAGACAGGCTATGTGGTAAAAATGCCAGACAGCTATTTTACGGTGAATTATGCCAGGGAACACGACCAGCATGGAAACCAAAAAGCGTTTCAAAAACGACCTCAAAAAATTGCTGATCAACACGGGCTTTCAACTCGATAACTGGGAAGCGCTCAAGAGGATCGACCTCTCTTGCAAAAAAGCTCATATCAAGGATTCAGGCAGCGGAGCTTCGACGTATCTCAGATGCTCAAAAGAAACGAGAAGAACAAAAAACAACACCGACACATTTTTGCACAATTTGTAGACGGACGTTTAGGGCCGTGCTCAAAGTCGCCGGTCTGATGGTTAGTTTGGGATCTTCTTCGCAAAGAAGAACGCACATCATATCTATATTTTAAAGTGTTATATAACAATTATATGTCTACAATTCTATTTACGTATTTGAGTTAATTGAATGAATTACAAGAGAGGCACGTTCAGCAGAGCTAACTTGCATAAACAGTGCACGCACGTACACAAGAACATACACTCTAAAAGAGACAGAACAACACAAACACAAGCAACCAACTGAAGATTCATACACTCAGTAATAACAAATTATTCTTTTATACATGCTAAAATTTTTGTTTGTTTCCGAAAATTAAAATGAGCTGTTTTAGCTGACAAACGCGGCGTGATGGCTTAATAGCTAAAGGCGCCTGGTCTTGCTGCTGCAGTGACTGGGTTCAAATACAAAGAGATCTCCGCTTATCATATACAATGTGTATGATGCGTGGTTTTTACGCGTTTTCATATAAGCTGTGTGTGTTTGTCATTGAAACCTCTGAAGCATGCGCAAAAGAGAGAGTAACCTTTAGACGAGCAGGCAAAGTTGATAAACAGAATGATTTGATAATACCATTTCATAAAACTTTAGTTGACGTATTGTGCATTGTTTCATTTTCTTTTATTTATTTTAACCAACATACAATATATCTGTTTCATCCCCTTAACAATGTCATTTGTGGCATGCATTAAAAAGCAAAAACGTAGGTGTTCTGAATGTCATCTACGTGGCATCTATCAAACAAATATCTAAAAGAATATTACAGAACAATATGACCAATGCACTTTTAAGAGCAAGATATTCCAAAAAATTTGTTTACAATCAAGTGCGTTCAAGCATTCAAACAATAATTCAAATATTCGAATCTGCTTGAAGACAAATTCAGAGTTTGCCGAAGGGATTATTCAATAATTTCATGCATTCTGAGAAATTCATATAAATGATAGTAAGAAATAAAAATATTTTTAGGTTTCACACACACACACACACACACACACATAGACACACACACAAATATATATATATATATATATATATATATATATATCAAATCAAATCAAATTTTATTCAATCAATCCAAATTAATAATAATTAGGTAATGATTAGGAGACCAAAGCTAAAAGAAAACAAAATTTTTGTGTCGCAGGCCGCCGTTCACAAATTGTTTATTCTAACACAATTTTTAACTAAATTTATAATTCATGACAAAATTAACATAATGCACAATTTACATGATTCTAATTAAATAAAAATTGTACTTTTTTTCAATAAATATTTCTTTATTTTGTTTTTAAACAAATGCAAGGAATTTGTAGCCTTTATATCAACAGGAAGTTTCTCCCAGATTCCGGGACCGGTATGTTTTAAACTTCCACCAAGCAGTGTTATTCTTGCAGGTGGTGTATCGAGCAGAGGAGAATGTCGAGTGAACTTTGACTGCACAGCATTTCCGAATTCGAAGAAGTCATTAAAAGATGTTGGTAATTGATAATGTAGGAACTTGAACACAAAGATAGAAACATGATAATTATACAAATTTTTTATGTTTAAAATTTTCAGTTCAGAATAATAACAGCTGACATGACTATATGGATGTAGATTTAATAGAATTCTGATGAAACGATTTTGACATCTGGTAATTTGCTTCAAGTGAACTTCAGGGCTGTTTCCCCAGATGATGTTGCAGTATATTAGATGTAGATAAATTAATGAATAATACAAATCTATAATTATTTGTTTATTCAATCTTACTTTAATTTTATTAATTGCGCCTATGGTTTTATTAATTTTTTTTTTCGATAACGAGTCTATATGCATATCCCACGAGAGGTTGGATACCTGTTAATTCGATTGACGCTTTTCTGAATAAACTGATAGATTGTCTTATCGAAATTAGCTCTTGGATGAGTATGAATCAGTTAAAGTTAAATCAATCTAAGACACAAATATTACCAGTTGGTTCATGGCAGCAGCTGTCAAAGGTCAAAATTTCATCGATCAGTATTGGCAATGACATCATTGAATTTTCCACATCTGTCCGTAGTCTTGGAGTTGTTATTGATTCCAACCTAAAGATGGATTTACATATTAATAATGTAGTGAGGGTCTGCTCCAACCAACTCCGTTTATTACGCAATGTCGAAAAATCACTAAACACGTCTGTTCTTCAAAGTTTGGTTTCCTCTTTCGTTTTTTCCAGACTGGATTATTGCAATGGTCTTTTTTATGGTGTCACCAAAAGGTCTTTTTCAAAGCTTCAGTCAATACAGAATCGTGCGGCCAAGCTAGTTTTGATTGGCTCATGGTTCGATCAGGTTACGCCTATTTTGAATAAGGTGCACTGGTTGAGGGTTGAGAAACGTGTTTCCTTCAAGTTAGCAGTCTTGATGTTTAAATGTGTCAATAATGCAGCACCTTCCTATCTCATTGATAGATTGAAATCATACAAATCTCATTTTTCAAAATATTCCTTCCGATCAACCGAGCGCAATTTATTTTTTATCCCGACTACAAAGTTAGCGACGGGTTCCCGCAACTTTGCGGTTCTTAACCCGGTTGTTTGGAATGGTTTACCTCCTTACTTACCTGACCCTAACCTACCATATTTACAATTTTGAAATCAGCTTAAAACTTATTTATTTGCACAATGAACGTCCGTCTTATTTGTCTATGATTCAGATACATACATACATACATACATACATACATACATACATACATACATACATACATACATACATACATACATACATACATACATACATACATACATACATACATACATACATACAAACATACATACATACATACATACATACATACATACATACATACATACATACATACATACATACATACATACATACATACATACATTTATGTATGTACATCTATTATTAATTTATACATAAAATTTAGGAGTTAGTCAAAGTATTACTATATTTTAAAACATCGAAACAATTTTGAAGTATTAGAATTACACTTTGAAATATCTATAACCTACATTATATTGTGTTTCGGTATATTAAATTTTTTTTATAATTATGTTTTATATTTCGGAACATTTTTGAAATATTAGAATTACTCTTTATAATTATGTTTATATATGTGTTTGGTTTATAATGTGTTTGGGTACCTTGAATTCTTTTATTTGTTTAAATCTGCTCATATATCATTATTACAAATTGACACTGGTGATCAGTACAAGAAGTCCAGATTTCTTATTCGATTTCCAGATCATTTCCTTTCATTGATTTCATTTTTCTGATTTCACTGTTTGATTTGATGAAATAAAAATGTCAAATACATACATACATACAAACATACAAACATACATACATACATACATACATACATACATACATACATACATACATACATACATACATACATACATACATACATACATACATACATACATACATACATACATACATACATACATACATACATACATACATACATACATACATACATACATACATACATACATACATACATACATACATACACACATACATTTAATCATACAATTTTTCGTTGAACAATGCCTGCAATTTTTGAACCACTGCATAATGGCGGTAAAAAATGTGCCGATGACTCAAAGTAGTCCTTGCTGGGCTCTGTGTAGACACATGCATATGTTTGTATATATCACAGACATGCATTAACAAAAATTTAACTAAATACATGTAATTTATCGAATGTATTATGTTTAAGCGGCGGGATGGTGAAATATTATTTTGAAACGAAACAAAGACATCTCCACCGACCACATGCAACGTGTGTAATATGTTGATTCAAGTTGTTGCGTGATTTATTGATTGACAGTTGATCCGCAAATGCATGACAAACAATTAAAACTTCTAGCTTGGACCACTTGAACCGGTTGCTGGTTCCGAAAAAGTTCTAAACATTGTGGTTGATAAAATAAAAAATTGCTTATTGTACATACAATTATAACAAATTG